ATTCTGCCAGTAACATTTCACTGCTGGATATAGACCTCCAGTACAGACCACAATGTAGACCAAAGTACCGGATGATTCGAATCTTCTACGTTGGCTCGTAAGTTGCATTGTTTGGTGGCAGGTGATCGTTTTAAAAGGATATTTTTCTGCTACAGTGACCTTTAAACTATTGAACCAAAATTACTTTGCCTTTTTATTCTTATTTCTACCCACTTTCATAAAATCCCGAAAATCTTATCACTGGGATTGAGTCACTATTGTTAAACTTTAGTGTATTAAAATTACTCATAAATAAAATGCAGTATATTTGGTTTTATCCACATAATGATATATGTACTTCGATACACCAATTCAACGCATGTAAAAGGATGCAACGGGCAATATTTTACACGATATCTCAGCCGAAAATAGTGAAAATTTTGCTCTAGAATTTTTCAGTCGCAAGTAAACATAAACGCCTGTAAAATATTTTTTAATTGTAAAAAGAAAAACCATTAAACACTCAGTACTGATGAATGCTATTGCTTTATACTGTCTTTCTGCAATCAAACAAGGTAAAAGTGAGATAGATAAGGGTGAGATCCCTAATTAGACGGACTTTTAAACAGAAAAGGAGTCCTATCAGATAGTACGAGTTATACGCTTAGTTGTACAAGCACATCAGCACTTACAAATACCGACCGTCAATCTAGCACTGCTAAAGGGCATGTAGTACCACCCTAATTCCGTTGTAAATATAGGCTTTCTCATGATCCACATACATAGGACAAAGTAGCAGATTGTACTTTTGAATTTTTGTTACAATTTGCCGAAGTGTATATATGGCATCTGTGGTACTGACACAATTTTGGAGACTAGCTTGTTTGCAAAATTTTTGTAAACCGCTCCATTGGAGGACGTAGCAATCAGGATGGAGGCCCCGAACGCTTAGTAATGAAATCGAGTAGGAATGACCCGAAAGTGGTCTTGACACATCGTAATAGCTCTGCGAGAGTGCTCGGGGTAGTTAGTGCTGCTTCTGGAACGTGTCTTTAGTAAAACCAACCAATGGATAGGCCCCGGTTGCGTTCCGAACGGAGATCCTGGGAACGCTACACGTTATTGACCGTATACGCTGATGATGACCACTGTGAGGTTTTAGCCGGTAGAAGTCTGGTATAACATTTCTGATGATCCTGCAGCGAAAGGTATGTAAAGTTTATTCCACGATCGAAATAATCGAAAAAGGGCGAAAATCCTTTAAATTATGCACGCTTTTTGGAGTACTTTTAAAAAAGAAGAGAAAAAAGTCGCTTGTTAAAGAAAACATAAAAAGCAAAAAAATCAAAGCTGTTGACGTACGCTTGAGATTTTCTCGTACTAAGTACCGCATATCGCTGTTTTTCTTCTGGTATTTAGTGAGCTATAATTTAGTTACTTCGCAAACTAGGCTTTTTAGTTTTCTCATCACTCCTATTACGCCTTTAACTAAACAACGACTAATATTCATGTATTAACGAAGCGAACACGATATCTTACGTTATTAGATTATATTAGACCAAGAGCGTAATTTAAATGTGCCAGTTTACTTCTAGCGTATGAACGAATATTAAGTTTTAATCAAACAATAGCTTCTAGTTTAGCTAATGAAATTATAAAGTAAAAATCGTATAAAAATGAGTACCTTAGAAGTCAGAGTCCAGTTTCCAGTGATGACCTATGGTACTGAGACGTGGTCCTTCACTGCTGGCCGGATGAGGAAGCTCAAGGTCGCTCAGCGAGCTATGGAGAGGGCTATGCTCGTGGTTTCTCTGCGTGATAAACTTAGAAATGAGGATATCCGCAGTAGAACCAGAGTAACCGACATAGCCCAACGGATTGGTAAGCTGAAGTGGCAGTGGGCCGACCATATAGCTCAAAGAACCGACAACCGATGGGGAAGAAAGGTTCTCGAGTGGTAGCCTAGTACCGGTAGGCGAAGTGTAGGGTGACCCCCCACTAGATAAAGTAACGACCTCGTAAGACATGCAGGAAGTCGATGGATGCAGGTGGCTCAGGACCGTGCTTTGTGGCATTCCTTCGGAGAGGCCTATGTTCAGCAATGGACTTATGAAAGGCTGTAATGATGATGATGATGATGATGAATTTATATACATAAAGTACACCGTTTCTAATTGTTTTTCTTGCTATATACTTTACTTTATGTATATAAATTAATGTACAATAATATAAACAGTTTGGCACTTATCCTGGGATTTTTATACTATCCTGCAACCTTATCTAGTAGCTTGAGTGGGTGTTAACATTGGCGACCATGACAGCTGCAGATACTTGAAGACGTAACGCTTACCTGCAATTTTACGGCAATTTTGGATGTGGATGACCTTAATACGACATTGCGCCCACGCTGACTACGAACCTTTTGTTATCAAGAAACGAATCGTTTGGTTTGACTCACAGCTGTTTCTTTAATTTGATTGCAAACGAGGTATTTATTAAAGTTTATGTATTTTTGTTCTTTTCGTGTTATTGTAGTTTACAAAGATGACAGACACAGAGTTAAAAGCTAAAAGAGCATCTATTAAAGGCAGACTAACTAGTTTTAAAAATTATTTAACCGACTTTAATTTTTAATTTTTCTGGAATTGATCTCATTTTTAATCCCTTTAAATCTATAATGACAAAATAATGACTAATGACAAATTTCATTTAATTGACATAAATAATGTAATTAAGAAGTTTTGGACAAAAGATAGGTATTACAGATATTTATTATAGTTTAAGACTGGTAGCAAATGTGCTATCTTATTATTTACATTTTAACTTAGCCTAGTTTTTGGCTACCAATACTGCTTCTATTGAGCAGTGTAAATATTTTACATTTTATTTAGAATTAGTTCCAACTAATATAAGTTAGTGAATCTGACAATAAAGGCAATCTTTAGCAATAATAAGAGTTTGATTAATTTAGAATGCAGCCCACAAACAAGTAATAAGAATTGTTTACGCCTGGTGCATCAAAATTTACAAGACATGATGGGCAAAGAATTTGAAGTTGAATTGTTTTTAAATAGTAAATACATACATATCCTTTGTATTATTGAACATTGGCTAAAAGATTATAATTTAATGTTTAATTTCAGAAATCATTCAAAATTTAAGTTCAGATCACTGTGGACAGTTGGTCTTTACTTGTCTTACATACACAAAAACAAAAATGAGAAAGTTGTATTTGTTCCAAAAAATAAACATCGTTTGGAGAGGTTTAGAAGGGACATAGTAAAAGGATTTCCATCACTTTCATTTAAAAATAGTGCTGATTATTTGCATAGTTCATTATTTAAAATTATAACTTGAAATGAATGAATGAAATATACTTTATTGTACACCAGAAATACATATAACACAAAGAAAAACAAACATAAGTTATTAAATTTATACGTGGTAGAGCCATGCTGCAGCTATATTATATCAATGATATGTTGCAAACTGGTAACATTCATTACTATGCGGATGACAGCACTAGTGATGATCTATACACCGGCCGTTCCAATATTTCTCGAGAAAACGTCGCCGAGTACCGGAACAAATTTGTGTTTGAAGTCGAGTCTTTCCTGAAAAAAGTCTCGAATTGGGGGCGACTAAATCTATTCCAGTTTAATCCTCAGAAGATACAAGCTTGCGCGTTTACCGCTAAAAAGAACCCCTTTGTCGTATCTCCTCAGTTTCAAGACACTCCCTTTCTTGCCTCAGCCAGTATTGGAATCCTCGACGTTGACATATTGAGTGACTAAAAATATCCTTTTAAAACGATCACCTGCCACCAAACAATGCAACTTACGAGCCAACGTAGAAGATTCGAATCATCCGGTACTTTGGTCTACATTGTGGTCTGTACTGGAGGTCTATATCCAGCAGTGAAATGTTACTGGCAGAATTTTAAAAAGAAGAATAAAACTGAGAAATAAAACACGTCCTTATGTAACGGCGTTTATTGCAATTTAACGTGGCAGATGCAACTGCCTACCTACATAGAAATATATATATATATATATACATATGTATATATATATATATACATACATACATATATATATGTGTACATACTTATAGTGTACGATCTACCAACACACATCACACCTCCCCACTTAAATTACAAGAGGGTAGGTTTTATATTAACTAATAGGTAACACATTAATTGATGATGTATTAATATAATTCTGATAACCCATAACGTTGAACAGGTTTACGGTTTCCTTTAAGACGATTCACAGGAATGCACGCTGAGTTTAGGACTGGTGATTGCGCTGGGCTCGAGTCACTCTGTGTAGTGTTTGGTGAGGAACGTACTGATACCTGTTTGTCACTCGAAGGGGTGCCGAACAAGCCTTACTCACCTTCGCTCACAACGTTCCCCTCCGACCCAAATTCTGAGTACAACACGCCCTCCTGACTCCCGTTTTCGGTCTGAATATCTTCGTTAGATTCTACACTAGAAGGATAAGGGACATCCGACATTCGCGCTCGGCGTCTAATTTGGTCAATATGTCTTTGCATCAGTCGACCATTATCACTATTTACCATAATAACGACGTGAGCCCTCATTACCTACTACGGTACCTTTTTACCACTTCTCTTAACTTTCGTAGCCCCTAACCCAGACGGTATCGCCGGCCGCATGCGCCCGCCGCACACTGCCAGCGTGCGCTAGTTGGCGATGCTGTACTCGCCGCACGCACTGCTCGCGTGCACTGTCGCTACGCAATAGATCTAATCTCGAACGCAATGACCGCCTCTGCAGTAGCATCGCAGGTGTGTCACCTGTGCTACTATGCACACTATTCCTATAGCTCAGTAAAAATGTTTGCATAGTGGCATCTATGTCGACCGATTCCCTATTTGCTTTTTTAAGTGCCCGTTTGCAAAGTTTGACCAAGTTTTCGGCCGCTAAGTTCTATGACGGGTGATAGGCGGGTGAAAAAGATTGCCGAATGCCATTATTATTTAAAAATGTCTGAAACTCATTGCTTGTGAATGGCGGACCTTGATCCGATGATCTCCACTGGTAGTCCAAACCGTGCGAACGTTGCTCGAAGAACTTTTATTATAGCCGTTGCATTCGTTTTATGCATCTCAAAAACTTCAAACCACTTTGAACTCGCGTCTATGACTACAAGGTAATTTCTTCCAAACAGCGATCCCAGAAAATCAACGTGAACCCTACTCCAAGGCTGAGTGTGATATGGCCAGGACTGCGGAAAAGCGTGCGGCGACGCCTGCGCCTCGGCCGCGCAGGTTTTGCACTGTTTACAGATTGCTTCTAAATCTGCGTCAATATTGGGCCACCAAACGTAGCTGCGAGCCATGGACTTCATTTTAACTATACCCATGTGACTTATATGTAACTGTGATTATACTTTAGCTCTTAAACCTTGAGGTATGACTAATCTATAGCCCCACATAAGGCAACCGCGATCAATGTATAGTTCAAAACGTTTATTGTAAAAATGTTTAACCAGTTCATCCTTGCATTTATTTTGCCAGCCGGATTGAACATGTAACATAATTCGACACAAAAGGGCATCCTTAGATCTAGCAACTCTGACGTCATCGTGATTTATAGGTAAAAACTGCTCGACAAACTTTAAATAGGTTATTTCTTCGGTACCAGAATGCCTTAAACCGGTTCCTGGGGTTCTAAGTCATGATAACGCATCCGCACAATTTTTCTCCGACACGACGTTATTTCATAACTATAGCCCGATAACAAAATAACCTACCTTTGCGCTCTCGCCGCGGCCATTAAGGGAATACCTACTTTGCTACCAAATATGTATGTTAAAGGTTTACGGACAGTTCTGAGAGTGAATTTGCGGCTATATAAATAATGATGAAATTTCCTAATGCCGCATATGATAGTTAAAGCCTCCCTATCTATTTGAGCATAGGCTAGATCGGCGCTGGTAAGCGACCGTGAAGCATATGCCACGGGCCGCTCACCGTCCGGCGTCACGTGCGAGAGGACTGCACCTATCCCCACGCCGCTCGCGTCTGCTGTCAAAATCAGCGGCAGCTCCAGCGAGTAGTGCACTAACACCTCACTCGAACCTAATCTCTGTTTTATACTAGTGAATGCTGTCTCACACTCCTTACTCCACACAAATTTAACGTTAGCCCGTAATAAATTATACAGAGGTGCTAATATTGTACTTAAGTTTTTTTATAAATTTGGGATAATATATGACCATGCCTATGAAGGCACGCAACTCCGAAACGTTTGTGGGGCGGGGGTCTTAAGAATTGCTTTTATCTTATTCTCACAGGTTCTAATTCCGTTTTCATCAATAACGAGGACAGCGTAACATACCAAAAAGGTGTGTTACGCTGTCCTCGAAGAAAGCACATTTTTCTATTTTTACACGTAGACCGTGTGACTTTAGTCGCTTAAACATATTATGTAAATTATTTATATGATCCTGGGCCCCTTTTCCGGTTACGACTATGTCGTCGAGAAAAACACCTACATAAGGTATACGAGTATCAGCAAATAATTGTTCTAAACGTTTTTGAAATATTCCTGGGCTCGATGAAAGACCAAAGACTAGCCGGTTATACATAAACAATCCCTTATGAGTGTTAATGACCGTATATTTATTCGTTTCGTCTAACTCAAATTGAGCGTACGCCTGTGACAAATCGATTTTATTAAATTTTTCTCCCCCATGTAAGCGAGCTAACAGATCCTTTACTTTTGGTAAAGGATAACGATCGACTTCAATGAATTTATTTAAAGTTAACTTGTAATCAGCGCAAATTCTGATGTTACCATCCTTCTTGACCACGGGAACGATAGGTGTGGCCCAGTCAGAGCGGTCCACAGGGGTCAGATGCCGTCGCGCACCATGTCGTGCAGCACGCGCTCCACGGGCGCCCGCAGCACGTACGCTACGGCCGCGCGCCTTCCCGCACGTGGATGCTCACTGTGCCGCCCGTGAATCACCCCAGACCGTCCGCAAATACTTCACAGTATCTGGAACTGAAAGCGTCCAAATTGAATTCTTCGTTTACATTATTCACACAATTAAATTTGGGAAGTTGTACCTTGAGCTCTATTAACCATTGCCTACCCAGTAGCGAAGTTTTAGCGCCCTCTATTACATATAAGTTCAAATATTTCTTCTTATCATTGTACAAAACTAAAGGTTTTATTACACCAACGGGTTGATCTAACTCTCCAGTATAGTATCTTAACTTCAAGTTAGATTCCGTAATCTCTAAATCTTTAAATAACTTTAAAGTTCGTAACTTATGCAAGACACTGTACTGCCCGTGTCACATTCCATAGCTGTATTTTTGCCGTGTATATTAAGCACTATTATAATGAGACTACATATTAATTGATTAGATAATTGATGAATGTTCTTTATCATTACCTCATCACTCTCCCCGCTGGCCCCCTCTTGAGGTGGTGCGGAGTTTATCACTTCGATGGTATGGTAATCCGTCAAATAAGGGCAGACCCGACGTAAATGTCCCTGTCTGTTGCACACTCGACACACGTATCGTACAAATTGGCATTGCAAACTATCGTGATTACCACCGCATGCACTACACTGCTGCTGCTGGGTGACGGGGAGCGGTCTTTGCATGGCGGCTCGCTGCCCGCGGTGCGCGCTGCGTCCATGGCTCGGCGCCGCCACTGCCTATGGGCACCGGGCCTGGCCAGCGCCGCTGCAACCGCCACCACCATTATAGTCACGCCACGTGCCCGCCACCGCTTGGCACGCTGCGATGTCGCCGCCCGACGTATCCGCTCGACCTTCAACTGCTGCCGCGTCTTTTTCCGCCGCTTCCATACTGACCGCCAGGGCGTATGCTTTTCCAAAATCGATCTTATCTTCCGTGAATAACCGTTGCCGTACGGTCTCACTGCTGACGCCACATACCAGTTGGTCCCGCAAACTTTCCTCTACCCAGTTACCGAATTCACAGGTCTTTGACATTTTTTTCAAAATGGCTACATATTCCGAAATTGATTCGTTGCTATTTTGCTTCCGATGGCGGAATTTGTACCTCTCCGAAAGTATACTGGATTTGGGCTGTAAATACCTTTCGAGAATTTCTGTTAATTGCTTGAACGATTTATTCGACGGTTTCTCCGGTATGCAAAGGTTAACCAAAAGTTCGTAGCATTCGGCTCCCATCACAGTAATAAGTGTTGGTACTTGCCTTTCCGGTTTAATTTCGTTCACTAAGAAATATTGTTCGAGGCGTTCTACGTACAATTTCCAATCGTCGGAATTAACATTGAATTCGGTTATTCGGCCGATTGACATCTTGTATGCACTTCACTGAACTGGATTCGAAATAACTCGTCGCCACTGAGAAATAAAACACGTCTTTGCGTAACGGCGTTCATTGCAATCTAACGTGGCAGATGCAACTGCCTACCCACATATAAAAATAATTATACGTACATACTTGTATTGTACGATCTACTGACATACATCACAAAAACCTTCATCGTTTTTCAATAAAGTTTTCACATCGTGTGCCCAGGTGCTCACTTTTATTTAGAATTCTCTCCACGGCTATTTTAAAAACGCATTTGTCGCATGTTGTACGGATTTGTAAAACGAAAGCTCGAATTTCATCTTTGAATTTGGCAATGCTTTTGCATACTTTGTCAAACGAACTGTCACATATTTGAATATGACATGTATGTAGATGGTAAGTTATCCATTACCATCACCACCACCTTGCAATTTTCATTTAATCTCAATAATTAAAGAGGATTGTGTTTCGTGATCACAGCTGTCTAAAATTTTCTATGTCACAATGTTGACCCATTTCCTCATTTTTAAAAGAAGTAGCAGCATTCGAATCATCTTAGCCGTACTTTTCTAATATTTAGCGTCAAAAATCCACAAAGCGTTTTTCATTTTTCTTGCTCAGCTTCTTCTTACTTGCGTCTTCTTACTCAGCTGCTTTCTCGCGTTAGTTAGCACTGATATTATTCCAAGTTATTATTATTGCAGAATGACCATGCTTTAACTCATCATAAAACGTTTTATATAAATATGTGGTTCGCTAAGGTCACAACGAAAGTCATAATAACTCAGAGAGAGAGAGAGAAATTCTCATGTTAATTTGAAAATCATATCGATACGACTTAGGGGCCTTCAAGAAAAGAGCGTACTCCTTTTTAAAAGGCCGGCAACGCATCTGCAATTCCCACCCTGGTGTTGCAGTTGTTCATGGGCGGCGGTAGTCACTTACCATCAGGTGAGCTGCATGCTCGTTTGCCCCCTCTCCTATAAAAAAAAATCATATTGAAGCGGTATACAGACTTTGCAAAACTTCAAATTTATTCTAAGTTTATAATAACAAATGGCAAACGAAATGAATCATATTATTTACTCGTACCTTGTCAGGTGGTCAAAGTGTTCTAGCTCTAAATTCCAAATTCATTTTAAACCTACTGCAATTTTTGCTCTTGCCAGTTATAAATAAAAAACACGCGTGAATGTCATCTAACACTCGGTAGGAACGAAGTTCCTTTCGTAGTTTATTATTATGAATAAATTAATTAATATCGTCTATTAAACTGAAACTTCATTTAAAATAAAATAATATTTCTTTCATGGCAACATAAAAAATAGTGTGAGGGGATGGATGTTATTCCATCTCGCTTTCTTATAGCCGCCAAGGCCGTCTATCCTACGTCAGAAAGGGTCGTGATGGAAAAATTTTACACTTTTTCTCGTATTAAATATATTAATTACTAACAATTCGTACAGCACGATAAGAAACTTCGTTTCAAAACTATCAGTCTAACACTATCAGTCTAACACTAGTAACAACCTACCAACTGACAATTAAGAAAATTTGTTTAAAAACATTTTCTTGTATAATTGGTTTTGAAATAATTAAGTATGAAACATTGTAACTGTTTCAATGCTATATTTTTTTATATAGGGAAGGGGGCAAACGATCATGCTGCTAACCTGATGGTATGTGACTACCGCCGCCCATGAACAACTGCAACACCAAGGGGAACCAGGAGAATTGCAGATGCGTTACCGGCTTTTTAAAAAGTAGGCTCTTTTTTTGAAGGTCCCTAAATCGTATCGGTCCGGAAAAATCGCTGGACCGCCATCATCCAAATGGTGTGGATGGTATTGGGAGTTCTGCCGCGATGTATGTTCGTGAAATTTGGCGGCTAAAATTAACCCGAACAATTCCTGACAGAACTCCCCGTGGTAAATGCGAAAGAAAGTGCAAAGGGATGCAACATCTCTTCGCAGCGCCAATAAATCAAGCCGATCGGAAAGGACTCGGTCGTTGACGGTCGATGCGGTCAAGTGGAAGGAGTTGGCACTGGGGAGCC